AAACTAGCAGCCCAGCTGTTCCCACTCAGTAATCAGGACTGAGCAAGACAGATCACAATGGAGCTGATGTTTTTATTAGGCCTTTCCTGTTTGCAATTTTGGTAGGTGACTTATTTAGAACAAATGACTATAAGAATGAGAGGACATCAATGGGATAAATTGTGAACAGGTGTGACACTTTCCTTAGCAGAATGTCTCCATGTTTGCAGGTGCCCGGGCAGAGGTGCAGCTGTTGGAGTCTGGAAGAGGACTGGTGCAACCTGGGGTATCCCTCAGACTCTCCTGTGCAGCCTCAGGTTTCACCTTAAGTAGCTATGGCATGCACTAGATTCGCCAGGCTCCAGGGAAGGGGCTGGAGTGGATCTCAGCTATCTGTACAGATGGTAGCACATACTATGCAGACACCATGAAGGGCCAGTTCACCATCTTCAGAGACAACAGCAAGAATATGCTGAATCTACAAATGAGCAGCCTGAGAACCGAGGACACAGATGTATATTACTGTTCAAGAGACACACTGAAAGCACACAATTTTGTGCCCAGACCAAAAAAAAAAAAAAAAAAAAAAAAAAAAAGCACCCTGCGAGGGCTTCTGGAGCCAGCAGATAGCGCTGTTGACCCGGGAGAAGCAGGCAGAGCCCCAGTAGCAGGTGCAGAGAATAAAACTGTGGACTTCTGGCTTCCTGTTGGCCTCTAGGTTTTCCCTTCTATAGAAACATCACAGGACTTGAGCATTCCTTGCAATGAATGAGCGGCTGTGAAGTATCCCCGTTCAAGTAAACATTCTACTACATTTCATTGTATAGGTCTATGTGAAGTCATGACACTTTCCTATTCATCAGTTTCACTTGATGAGTATTATAACTTCTATGCATCTTCAATTAGCTTGTAAATTTTATGAAGTTAGTTTCTTCAATTCCATAATCTCAGCATTTAAAATTGAATCATCTAGTTTAAACTCAAATATGAGGGGATGTCTCATGTAGAAATTAATGGTTCACATTTGAAAATTATATTATCACATCCTCTGCACAGGGTGCGAGAACACTCAAACCTCTCACATCTTGACCACCTCATAAGGCATGGTCCCAAGGCCCAGTATCATCTCCATGTGAATCCATGCACTCAGGTGTACAGAAGATAAGCAGCCTGGTCGAGTTCAAAGCAGTGGCGCAGACACCGTTGTGTTTTCTTACACTCCTCTGAGTAGGAATAGACCACTATAATGTTAACTGGTCATATACAGTTGAGTAAGAATCCCTCAACTAAATTGGTCAGCATATTTCTGGGTATGCTGAGAATATGTATTCTCACATAAGAATAGGAAGCAAATGAATATATCAAAAATATTCAATATCATTGATCATTTGAGAGATAAAAATTAAAACAACACTGAGATCCAATGTCACTCCAAAATGAATGGCTATATTCAATAAATCAAACAGTGACCAGTGCAAGGCTCTGGGAAATAAAGAATGCTACCTCTATCCCATTAGAGGGAGTGTAGACTAATGAAATCACTGTGGTAATTAGTGTGGGCTTTCCTTAGAAAGCTATGATCAGCAACTCCACTTGAAGCAGTCCTTCCTGTCCTTGGTGTCTTCCCAAAAGTACTAAAAGTATTCTAGTACAATCAGTATATACAAAATAGTTATGATAGATATACAGCTATTTTCTCTTAATTCAATGAATAGAGAGATTTGTACTAATAGTGTTTGTGGACAGAATATCATGTCTGCATCTTGTACTTGAATATTCACTAAGAATACAACAATATGCAATGTATTAATTATTGAATCTGTCCAACTCATCAGTTTTGAAACTGTCTCATTGCTATTTGCTTCTCAATAAAATTATTTTTTTAAAAAGCATCCTACCAGATTGACACATGTTTTTGACATGTTTATAGCAGCACAGATTATAAAAGCTAGAAACTGGAAATTGTCCAAATGCCCATCAACTGATGAATGGAAAAGATGTGCATTTTTTGTAGAATGGGTTTACTACACAACTACAGAGAAGGAAAATATTGAGATTCTTCTAGGAAAAGCAGAATAATCACATATAGCTCCACTGTCAGTTACTTACAGCTATTACTGTCATATATACTATGAGTCCAAGAACACAGTGTTGTTATTATTATCACAATGTACTGTTGTCTGTATTCAACTGTTAAGAAAGAAAATGATTTTCTATGACAAAAACATCTCCAAAACTATAACTCAATTCATAAAATATATTCAAAAATGAATGAAAATTTGCCATGCGAAAATGTTCAAAGCCTCCAAATGCCAATCGTTAAATACACTATAAAAATCAACCAAAAGTTAGGTTTAAAATTGCAAAATTCAAGGGCTGGCAAGACTAAGCACCTCACTAGGCAAGTGCCAGGACCAGGGTTTGATACCCTGCACTACATTCTGTGTCTTCCCTGCCCCTGGGCACAGTGAACCAGCCTCTGAGACTGGGTATGGTGGTGCACACTAGCATTCCCAGTGTGGGGGAGGCTAAAAACAGGAAGATCTCAAGGAGTCCGAGCTGTGTAGTGAGATCATATACCAAATACATTAAGCCAAACTAAACTAAAATTAAATTCAATTTAAAAATTCAATGGCAATATAACTAAGTTGTAAAATTTAATGCAAATAGAGCATAAAATTGATAATCTGAAGAAGAAAGAAATGATTTGAAAAAGACATTGTGTTCCTGAGAAAAAAATGGATATATTTTTTATAGAGAGATAAGTCAGCTATACATAGCTGTAGTACATACCTGAGATAAATTAATCTTAGAGAATGGAAGCCTTACTTCGGCTTGGCACTTTGGTATATCATATGCATGCTTTTTTTGGTTTTTTTTTTTTTTTTTTTGTGGATCTGAGGATTGATCTCAGGCCCTTCCACTTGCCAGGGAAGCACTTATACTATTGAGCCATCTCCCTGCCACTGGGGATGTATTAGTTTTTGACTGTGGCTCTGATTTCCTCTTAAAGGACAAACTACCCATAATCTGAATTCCTTCCACCGAGACTCATGCCACTAAAATCTAATATCTCCGCATGGTGCAGCATGTGGAGGTCGACTTCATCATGAAACAGAGTGACACTCATGTTAGAAATCACAAGCAAACCAGAAGAATCCATATATGCCATGCAGTATCTACAAACATACCAAAGTCATTTTTCACTGAAATACAACCAGTCCTAAAATTCAATTGAAGTTATAACACCCAAAGCCTCCCAACCAGAAGGGCTAGGTGTATAGGATGGAAATTCAAACTACAAATAATGCAAAACATGTCTTCAGTGTATATGTGAGAGATGAACTTATTCAATTAATACTCTGAATAGCTAACTACCACAAAAATGTTTACAATGAATGAAAATCTTAACACATATTTCACCAATAATAACACATAAGTTAGGAATGAGAATCTGGAAATAGACAAGATGTTAGCTTTCATTGAACAAAATGCAGCATAGAAGAATAAAAGCAGTTAAAGTAGAAAATAGAAAACAAAAGAAGAAAAAGATAATACATGAAATGGGAGATAAATGGATATAATAGAGTAAAAAAGATTAATGTGTGCTTTATGCATGTGTAAACATGACAACATAATAATCCCCAATCTGTCCATAGAGTATGCACTGTATTTATTTTGTGTTGTTTACTTATGTATTTGGTAAAGGGTCTCCCTGTACAGTTCAGACTCATACTGACCCTCCTGTCTGAGACAGATCTAACTATTAAAATGCACACTAAATCTATTAGAAGAAAACACAGCTAGAACTCTTTAAGACATAGGTGTAGGCAGAGAGTTCATGAAAAGAACTCAAACTGCATGGAAAGTACTTCAAAGAATCAACAGCTGAAATGTCATTTTATGATAGTGTTTACACATTAAAAGAAACCATCAACAAAATGAAGGGAATACCTACAGAATAGGAAAAGGTTTACCCAGCTGTCCTGCAGACAGAATACTTCTATATAGAAAATACGAGGCCGGGGAGATGGCTCAGTGGAATAAGCACTTCCCTGGCAAGTGCAAGGGCCTGAGTTCAATCCCTGGTTCTGCAAAAAAAAAAAAAAAAAAGAAAAGAAAGAAAGAAAGAAAGAAAATACGAAGAACTGAAAAAGCCCAGCCACCAAATTCAAGGCAATCCAAAATGGGCATTTGAGATGAATGCACATTTCTCAATTAAAGAAATGCACATGGCAAAAAAGTATATGAAAAAAAAGGTCTACACTATTGACCATTTGAGAAATGCAAATTAAAGCAACACTGAGGTTTCATCTCACCTCCAAAAAATGGCTGTAATCAAGAAATCAACTGTTGATAGAGCTGAACGGAAAAAGAAATACTTCACTCTCATTAGTGGAAGTGTAGTTTGGTATAGACACTGTGGGAATCAGTGCAGAAACATCCCAACAACTAGCATTTTAAGCCCTATTCAGCCCAACTGTCCACATTCAAGGGTTTTTTTCAAGAAAAATTCACAATATCATATCAGAACAATGTTTATGTACTGAGGTTTATAGCAGCACAATTTTCAGTAGTTATATCTTGGAAACAGCCCAAATGCCCATTAAATAAGGAACAGATAACAAAGATGTGGAAAATTTATGTATTGCAGTATTACTCAGTTATAAAGAAGGATAAACTTGAGTATTTTACAGGTAAGTGGATGCAATTTGAGAACATACTCGTAAGTGAAATGAAATGAGATTCACAAGTTCAAAGATCATATTGTCTCTCCACTGTAAAAAACTGAAAGAATGAATAACATCAAATGTGCATGATAAACACTTTGAAATGTGAAGAAACTGATGAAAACAAACAATAGGGAAAGGACAAAGTAAAAAGAAGTAAGGGGCAAAGAACATGTATATCTGTCCCTGGATATATAGCAAGAGGCCATGCAAATAAGGCCTCCCTCTGCAGATGAAAATCAGCCCAGTCCTGACCTGAGGCTCTGGATTAGAGCTCAGCCTTGAAAGCCAGCAGTCACCACACTGTTGTCAGAACTGAACACAGACAGCTCATCATGGAGCTTCGGCTGAGCCTGGTTCTCCTGCTGGTCATTTTGAAAGGTAAATTATTTAGAACAAAATATATTGATCACCTGAGTGGCATGAGTAGGATAAACAGTGGACCTCTGTGATGATTTCCTGAGTAAGGTGTGTCTCTCTTTCTAGGTGTCCAGGCTGAAGTGCAGCTGGTGGAGTCCGGAGGAGCCTTGGTGCAGCCTGGGGGGTCCCTGAGACTCTCCTGTATGGCCTCTGGATTCAATTTTGGGAGTTACGGCATGCACTGGATTCGCCAGGCTCCAGGGAAGGGGCTGGAGTGGATCTCACTCATCTATAATGATGGTAGTGATAAGTACTACGCAGACTCCGTGAAGGGCCGATTCACCATCTCCAGAGACAACGGAAAGAACATGCTGTATCTGCAAATGAGCAGCCTGAGGCCGGAGGATACGGCTCTGTATTACTGTGCAAAAGACACAGTGAGTGACTATCAGTGAGAACTCAGACAAAAACCTCTCTGCAGATACACTGAAGAGCAGAAGGGGGCTCTGTGCTATAAGAAACAGGCCAGGCCTCCAGAGCAGGGGCAGGGAAAGAAGCCATTGAGTGAGGGATTCCTGTGGGCCTCTTGGGTTCCCCTTCTGTATTCTCAGTACAGAAGCAGAACAAACCCTGCAATGCCTGAAATGCAGTGAAGTTTCCAAATTCGAGTAAATATCATCTGTTACATTTCATTGCACAGGAATTTTACTTAATGAGTCAACAGAATCTGTACTCATCGCAAATATCTTACATGTTCTCTCATGTCACTTTCCTCATCAAGTTCTTCATATCACCATGATCATCTAAACTTGAATAAGCTAATTTTATCCTAAGGATAAGGAGTTATTCCACACATAAATAAATCTTTCAGGTTATCGAATTAAATCTTCTAAATCCTTCTCCATTCTGACATTGGGCAGGTTTCTCCTACTGTAGAGCAACACTGGTGATATGTTAGGCAGCCTCATACCCAGCACCATGGGGAATATAATTTCATCTCCTAAGGGACTTCAAAACTTGCCTTGTCTATTTCTATGTTATACAATGTACTGTTAGAGAATTTTTGTATATATAGGAAGGTTGAAGAACAGGTACACAGAATCGATGTAACTGCCTACCCTCCCTCCACATTCACTGTCATAATGTACAAATTTGGCTGCTCAGAGTAGAAGAAAGATTATAATAGACATGTCTGAGTTCATTGTATAAAACCCACAGCCACTGCTTATGTTCATTAGAGCCTTAGGGAAAACAGATGTGATCTTCCCCTTTGTGGTTCTTGATTTCAAATTGGGGACATGAGAATAAAACAGTTATAAGCAAACATTTACTCAAGAGTTCTACCCACAGGACAGGGAAGAAGGAGGCTCATTTGTTAGGTGACATATGCCCTTTTGATCCTCTCCAGTTCATAAGAGGTTTTGAGAACACCTTGGCCTAGGTTATTTTCTGAAAATTACATGCTTTTAATCTGCTGATTTTTATGTTTCAAATATGCACCAATCTTTGCCCAATCATTCTAGGAGTCCTGATGCTTTATAAAGAGAGTCCCTTTGTAATTTTCAATTCACTTTAAATGTGCTCTTTTCTAGAATCTTTCTACAGTTTTCCTTTTTTCATTTTCTACATAGGAGAGGGATATCGTGTTTGATACAGAAAGTTCTACAAGGTTTCCACAGTGTCAGTCCATTGGAATAACACACAAAGCACTCTTAAGATTGCAAAAAAGAGCTGATTAGGCATTATTCTAATGCCTTCTAATGTGAAGGTAGATACCAGGAAATCAATGTTTAGGATTTAGCCATTGGCAGTGTCAAACATTATGGGCCTCCATTTCAGGTCCATGATTTTTAATCTAAAGTCAATCCTGATGGGGCCAGGGAGATGGCTCAGTGGAATAAGCACTTGCCTGGCAAGCATAAGGGCCTGAGTTCAATCCCCAGTTCCACAAAAATAAATAAATAAATAAATAAATAAATAAATAAATAAAGTCAATCCTGAAAGTCATCCTCTAGAAGATATTGAAACTGCCCAAGATTAAGCATGGCCAAAAGAAATAGGAATAATACACATTGAGCAAAAACTAGTGTCACTGGTAAGTTGAGTACATGTCCATGGGATTCAGTGCTGTTTGCCAAGCCAGTTGACCGCTGTCTCAAACGTAAGAAGACATTGTATATTTTCTTTATCAATATTAATGGGAGTCATTAACTCAAAGTCATTAATTAGTTGGAAACTACTACACATAGCTCAATTTTGATGGAGTAAATTGAAGCACTTGCTATAGTCATAAAAATAATGATGAATATATTATTATGTAATTTAAACATGTAGCAATTACATGCACTTTCACAAAAGCAATTATCCATGTCTCAGAATTACTAGTGTATTTTTCATTGTTTACAGAATTTACAATTTTTTTTTCTCCAAAATAGGCAAATATTTCTTTCCTAAGTGCCTACTTTAGTGTGCTGCATCACTGATTGTGACCTCCAGTCCCAAAATTCACACCCTGATTTCTTCCTTCTCTGCAGGCTGTTATTCAGCTCCAGCCAAAGATGTTTCTACTCCAGGGACTCTTGCGCTGGATCTAGCACCTTACCAGTTTCAATGTCAGGGTGGAGATCAGAGTCCAACACTGAGGTATTGAATCATCTAAGGACAGAACCTTAATCACTGCTTTCAACACAGCTGAGAAACAAGTCAGTGAATCCATATAAGACGGCCAATTGGATGATGACTGTCAACTTCATAGGAAGCTCGCTTACCACCTACAAAACTCTTGAGCAAGCCTTATCCTCATGTGGCATAGACCCAAATCTCAGGCAAAATGCATGAGGATTGCATATGAATTCAAATCACGTCCTAATCCTGTATGTGGCAAATAGTATCCTCAGCTCTTTTATTTATCTTTATTGATTGGAAAAGAATTAATTTGTATGACTTTGTTCATATCAGTACTCTTCACCATAGCCCAGATATAAAATCCACCGTGACCCTCCACATAATGGTGAATACATCAGTGAATGTGGAGCTTATCTCAGCATTCAAGAAATCTCTTTTTTTCTGTTGCTGGCTCTGTCCACCCTGGGTTTGGGGCTGGTGTGGCATGTGCTTGGATCAAACTGTGGTCCCTGCACACTTGCCTACATTTGCCTAAATTTGCCTAAGCAGGTGCTTTAGAAAGCTGAGATATCTCGCCAGCCCCTTCAGCATTCTACAGAAATATTTTCTATCATTCACAAAAGTTTACATGACATTGGAAGGCACTGTATTAAGATATTTTATGTTAAAGCTACACAGAAGAAACAAATACATTCTCATTTACAAGCAGAATTTAAATTTTTTATCCAAATAGTTCAGTTGATTAAAGTGCCTGCAAGCAGGCAGAAGGCCCAGGGATTTGACCCCCAGGCCTGCTTGCCAGCACCAACTGCCGGGGCTCACTGAGAAGGCAATTGAGATTGGGCATTGTTTCAAGTGCCTGTAATCCCTGATCTTGGGAGGCTATAAACAAATGGATCACTATGAGGTCGATCTAGTAAAGAAGCCCTGAACACACTGTACACCCTTCCATACCATCCAGCAGAAAAATAAAAAAAGTAAGCCATGTTAATATTCTGAGCTAGGGGCTGGGGAGATGGCTCAGTAGAGTAAGTGCTTCCCTGGCAAGTGCAAGGGGGTTAGTTCAATCCCCGGATCCACCAAAAAAAAAATAATAATATTTTGAGTTGTAAAAGGCTCAAGTCAACAACTTCTGACATTGCCAATCCTATGGATAGCCCACTACTATTATGGACTACTGGACTATATTGGATTGTTTTGCTGAATTCATGCACCAACAATATTTAACTGGCAATGGAATACCCATATCAGATAAAACTAAAAAGATGGGGGGATATAAATGAAGGAACAGTTTGTAGTGAAATATATATATATATATATATATATATATATATATATATATATCAGTATATACAAAATAGTTAGGATAGATATACAGCTACATTAATTCAATGGGAAGGATTTGTACTAATAATGTTTGGACAGCATATCATGACTGCATCTTGTATTATGAATACCTACTCTAAAGATGACCATATGCAATGTATTAATTACTTTAACTGTCCTACTAACCTGTTTTGAATCTGTCTCATTTTCTATTTGTTTCTCAATAAAACTAATTAAAAAAAACATAAAGTAAAATAATACTGCATGTCTTCAAAAATAAATAAATAAAATTAACATAATTGTTTTTTTATTCCAGGGGCTGGATCCTAGGGGTTGTAAAGATGTTCATCAAAGGATAGAACATTCTCATTAGACAGGGCGAACGTCTTCGAAAGTGCTCTCTTCATCATGTTGAGTAGAGTCAGTACTCAGATATTATATTTTTCAACTCAATCCACTGTAATGCATTTCAAGGATTTGTACAAAAAGTGCTAATGATGTGATGTAATCTATTTTTGTTTTGCATACATGACCGTTCCACAGTGCATAAATAGCTGAAAAACTTGCATATGTTGACAAATTTTAAAAGTCACTATCACTCTCTGTGGACTGCCTTAGTATTACATTTCTTCAAATATAATGTTCAGCTTATAATTGATCCATTTCATGTCATATGTGTTAAAATCCCACAATAGTAACATGCTACTGAAATTATTAAACATGAGAAATATTAGAATAAGTGGCTTTTGTTAAGGAATCATTTTCTGTACATGTTCATAACTATAGCGTATCTCATATTTTGTGAAATAGATGACATAAAGTCTTTTAAGATATAAGGTTAATTTCCTTTTCAGTAGAAAATATACTACCATATGAAAAAGGAAAATATATGTTAGTAACAGTAATAAATATAATATTTCTTGCTATAATAATGAGTATATCACTTAATAGTTAGCATTCTCTTGGTTCTAAATATTCTTTTTTATATTAATTTTATTGAGAAATAAATAGCATTGAGTTTCAAAACAAGTTAGTAGGACTGTCAAAATAATAATACATCACATATATATTGTCTTCGTAGTAGCCCTTCATAGTACTAGATTCAGATATGATATCTTGTCTAAACACTATCAGTACAAATCTTTCTTCTCATTGCACCAAGAGAAAATGGTTCTCAATATTCTGTACCAGAATTTTCCCTGAAAGAACTTTATTATAAGCAATAATCATTCCTCTCATACTAAGTTGGAATCATTTGAATAAGTGATTGAAGGAGGAGCACCTTGATGAACACAATATTTACAGACGTGTTAGATGCGGATGTAAAGTGTCTGACATTTATCCATCAGACAATGTTCTCACCATGGTTCCTGGATTAATACCAGAACTGCTGTTAAATTTTTATTCCTGTTTTAAAATTTTGTATTTATGCTTCTTTGTTACTCTGTTTCAGTCTTTGTTTCTACTATTTGTTTTTGCATTTGGATTTGATTGTATCCTTTTA